GTGGCCAGCCTGACACCAAGAAGATCCGTGCAGGGGGAGAAGGCCTCATCCTTGTCTTTGGCCCACGTAAAACCAAAAAGGTCAAGAACTGCTTTGGCACACCGATCAGCGTTCTGGCTCAGCTCAGCCACCTCCAGCAAAGGATAGTCATCAAAATAATTTGCAGCAAGCAATTTCATCTCGTGAAAGATTCGTTGCACCAAACGCGCCACCCTGTTGAAGTGTCCAACACTTGCGATGCTGCCGAAAGGCAACACCCGACACAAGAAACCCTTGGGCTCGTCATCAGCCGGATCTTTCAAAGAGATCACGCTGAACCTCCTGTCATCCGGATGCAAAGCGAGCTGTTTGTAGGCAGATTTAAGGTCCACCGTCTTAACAAGCACACGAGCCCTGTCTGGATGCTGCAGCCAGTAGGGATGAACGCGCCCTCGAAGAACGCGACCATCGTCCAACCTCAAAGCAAAGCAACGGGACTCCAGACAGCGCATGATCAGCATAGCCGTAAAGACCGTCTCGTCCAAGGCCCGAAGATCAAGCTTATCCAGAGTACTGCACGCTCCATTCGTCCCACNNTGCTGTACCACAGGAAAGCGGCGAGTTGGAACCCAACCCTCCGGCATCATTTGCTCAAGCTGAGAGAAGGTCCTCGGCTCCTCAAGCCAAGATTTATCTAGGTACTCAGCATAAGTAATGTCCCACAGCTCGCGCCCCAGAGAGTCCAGAGGGGCTCCTTTGATCTTCGCCCACAAAGCCGGCCTGAGATGCTTCGACTGCTTCAGCAAGTCCTCCTTGGTACCCGAAGCCGGCCGAGGATCAAGACCAAAGACACCACTTGCATCCTGCAGCCCTGTAATGCGAAAGCCACGAACCAACTCATCATGAAGAGCTTCATCTGGCCAACCCAGCGAGGCAGCCACCTTACGAAGAAGAAGAAGCTTCTTGCCTTTAAGCACCGATGCGACACCTGGATCAAGACTCTCATGAAGGCGATCTTCATCAGCCTGAAGATCGCGGGCCCACGTCTTCCATTTGTGTAAAACGGACAGTCTATGCCTCAGTATGTCCACAGGGCTACTAGAAAGAAGAGAGGCAACGATCTCCAAAATCCTGTCAGGCACAGCTTTACAAGAATCAAAAGGATGCTCCAAATCCCTCGCGGCCGAAACAAACTCAGAAGGACTCCTGTAAATGCCAAAAGATGCAAGAGGCCTGCCAGCAGGAGCCGAAGGGAAGGGCCTAAACCCGAAGCGGGAGCGGAGGGGCCTAAACCCAAGGGGCCTAAACCCGACGCGGAACCCACCCCTTTCACCGGCCTGCGGAGGAGTTTAGCCCCAGCAGGGACAGAAGGCAAAGCAACCGTCAAGCATGATTTGGCATCAAGTGGCAAATGCTCGACAGAATCCACTGCAACGGTCACACGATATTTAAAGTCTTCAAGAAGCGGCTTGTACTTGGAGAGCTTGGGCTGCCGCCGGGCAGAGGCAGCAGCTGCGTGAGACGACTGTTCAAGAGGACACTCACGCACAATCTCCAAGTTGAAAGAGGCAGCCTGAAGTTGCAAAGCCGATGACATGGCCTGACAAAGCTCATGAGGGTACGCAGCCTCTTGAGAGGCGGCGTATTGAACACCAGACTTGTTTCTAACGGGCTGCCAACTTGCATGCGAATGCTTATTGTCACAAGTCCTTGCCAAGGAAAGCATCTCGACGCAGGTGGTGAGAAATCGAGTAGATTTCTTGCGGCAAGAGCCCCACATGCAAGAGTCAAAGACAACATCAAG